AGAACACATCTCTGTCCCCATTATCCTATCCATCAGGTAATAAACTTGCAGTTTCCTATTTCTAGGCTCCCACTACCTAGTCTATCTTTCAATGCTCCTGCCTTTTTTCCCCACCATTGTCCACCATGCACCTGGCCAGGCCAATGAGAAAACTCTGATTCTATAGCCTATGCTCTTTTCACCAATATATTTGTTTTCCCACACCAACTTTTAGCTTCCTACCGCATACTCTCCTTGAGAATATCTTAACTTACTTTGAGTCACTGTGAGCACAGGAAATGCAAACCACTTTTGCTATCACACTAAGCAAAATATTGACAGCCAATGTAAATTTGCCACAAAATGAGCTGTTTAAATCTGACTTTGCTAGAATTCAAGGTCCTTAAGGGGCATCTAGCACAGACTTTGGCCAGAGTATATTCTCAAACATTTATTGAATTAATTCTTTGACCCAAGTGGAATATTTAGATTAGACCTGATATTTTCTGTCCACTTAATTAATCTAAGGACTTACTTCAGCTTCGATAGGAGACCTATAAACACAGAAAAGATGCTGCATAAGGAAATCAACCTTCTAATTCCAGAGTATAATCTCACACAACTGCTCTGCTAAGATCATGCACTGTAAACAGATACAAGGACAACAAGCTACAGAGCAGGGGTGGACCTCTCCCCAAGGACAAGTACACCAAAGACCATCCCATTCACAAAAGCTCTGATGAGGACCCTAAAAAGTAGTTCCAAAGTTGGGCACCTAGCAAAACATCAAGTAACTCTCTGACTTTTACAAACATTAAGAAAAATATTAAACACCAAATCATATTTTCCGAAACCTCCTTTGGCAGTATTAAACCCAGATGGTACTAATAGGTACATAATGGACGCATGTGAAGTTAGACTTTGGCTGTCTATAGCTATTGCTCTGGGCGAACGTGATCTGAAATCTATGTTCTGGTAAAAGTAAGCCACGTTATGATAGCTTCTAGTGAGTGGAACGCATTTTCATGCCTCCATCTTTTATATGTCTATACAAATGACAGTTCTCTGTCTTCCTTAGAAACAGCTCATTTTTTTTTTCTTATTGGCATAGCCTGATGTTTTAGGTCAACGTTTTAAGCTTGTTTTGCTATTCTTTACAGTTTATCCCCTGGGGCCAGGTAATCTTTTTATTTTTTCCCCCTTACGTACTCAGAAAACATGCTATTGTAGTTACATGTTCAAACACCCATTTTAAAACAGTCCTCTAGCCTTACACATGCATTCTCAAAAGCCTGGAATATGTGAACAAAGATGCCATGAGGGCCAGTTAATAAATCTCCTTTTCAACTAGCATCTGCACGAAACAGAGCTATGGGGAGGATCCTCTCCAGGGAGACTCAGAGCACGACTCATTCGCTCTGTGAATTCAACAGTGTCGCCTCAGATGCCCCTCACCACATTTATTTTTTAAGCAACTCTTAAAATATATGGCTTTCTAATGCTCCTCAGTACAATGAGGAAGCTGGGACAGAAAAGGTGATAACATGACAGTGGACATGAGCGGGAAAACATGCACACGACTGGATTGAGCCATTTAGGCACTTGGCTCTTTTCTATTGAAATTACTAATTCAGGAGTCATTTTTATAAAGGAAACTTGCTTTTCTCATCAAATGCACACTAGCTTCCTTAATGATTTGCCTCCTATTCTACTCTAAGCTGTGAAAATGGGTTCTGTTTACACTGACACCTGAGTTCCAAGATCTGGGTCAGGGACCATATCCGACTTTCACCTGTGAACAATCTGGTACATATGCTATAAAAATAGAAGAGTGACCACTAGTCCAACATCAGGGCTCAGGGGCACTGCCCTGTTCTCGTTTCCTCTCATCTGTGCTGCCAGCAAGGTAAGGTGTGTTCCTGTCCAAGAGTACCTGAGAGAATCACTTCTCAGTAATAACAGCATTCTTTTCATATTTACATAGCTCTTTTAAGAGATTCTTTGTTTCTAATGTTTGAAGTCAACCTCACAACATCTCAAAGAATGGGATTGCATATCCTTATATGTAAAAAGCAAAGGTAGATAAAAAAAGCCTAAGATAAAGGGCCTGTTGGAAGCCTACCTAGGAGTTAGTAAAGCAGCCAAGAAACAGAATTATTTCTGGTCTAGCTAGGGCCCTGGGCTTCCCAAGGTTCCCCAGGCGACACCAAAGAGAATTTCCAAGCACATCTCATTGGTGAGTGCTATCCCAAGCCTATAGCCAAAGTAAAACTTTTATTTGGTTAAATTTCTACTATGGTTTTCAATTTGCCTTCCAAGTTTCCTCAACAAATAAATGGCTATATTATTCCAGTCTTAGGATGCCAAAATAAAGATGGAATGCTTTCTTCATTAAAAAAAAAAAAAGTGTCACATTTTTCCTTCCTTATGACTCTCCAAAAAAATAAGTGGTAGTTATATTACATTGGTCATGCACTTTGAAAGAGAAGCAGACAAATATACAGAATTCTCCAGTGTATTTGTCTCCAAGCGCACCCTTTGAATAACAATACAAATGCAATTTTGGAGGCTTCCATCTTCATTTAACCTATAGCATCTCTTGCTATAGCATTCAGTAACCCCATTATATAAAATACAAATGCAATGATGCTCTGATTTAAGAATCTGCTCAATCAGTCATAATTAAAATTTAGTTTTGTTTTTTATATAATCTCAGGTACTGTTATTGGGACACATCAAGCAAAATGGAAATAATTCAGGAAATGGAAATCATTAACAGATTGAATTAAAGAAGTAAATGCAATTGTATTATTAAGCAATAATTTATCACAAGAAGGTTACATTTAACCTTTCTGTCAAGTGATTTTCCATTGCCACTTCAAATTAGTTCATATGAGTAATAAAACCCAACTAGGCAACTTCCTTTGGCCCATGTGGTAAAACTGGAACTCCATCTTAAAAAGCAACTGCTACCAACATAGCAGGAATTAAATCATTTAAGAAGTGAGGGCTTCATCAAATTTATTACTTATAAGACAACTTTAAATGATTGTGTTTTAAAATGCACATGAAAGTTTTTGTTTTTAAATTCAATTTTTAGGCTTTGGGATATTCACAGAGAAGAAAGGTAAGAAGGTGCCCAACATCCCAACCACTGGGTGTGTAAAAGGAGAGTCCTAGAAGTTTTGGACCAATTTTGGTTTATAGTAAAAGAATAACAAGCACTTGAAATCTGTAAGGATACCATGTCAACACGTTCATTGGAACCATAAGGCATGGGATTTGGGTGACCTCATGGGCACAGCCAAAATTAACTCCAAGTATTTATGTAACTGCCAGAGATGACAGGGCAAAGGTTGCTTATAATTTTTTCTTTGAGTCAACAAACAGTATGTGTCTTTGGTAAAACAGAAAGGGAGTGGAGTGTTTTTGACCCTATTTTATGATACACAATGTTTAAATACACCGAATATTCCATTTGTAAAGCCATCTGAATGTTTAGATGAAGTCTTTTTTTTTAAAAGAGTTATTTCCTGTTGCTCACTAGCTGAGAGGATGCGCTTTAGAGGTATGTGTGCTCTGCTTCAAAGCAAAAGCATTGTTAGCGGTTATCAAGGTAACATTTAAAAATAACTAACCCAGTACAAAAGAACTTATTGAGGAAATATGACTGAAGCTATCAGTCTCTCTTTAAGTCTGGCCTTGAGCTGCCTAAGACCCTAGCTGCATTCTCCATTACATTGTTATCCTTATCAAACAATGCAAACAATTTTAATGAGCTTATCTATGGGAACATATTGCCAGATATGTTAATGTAAAAACGATGCCAACCATACAGGCTAGCTCATTAATCAAAAGGCTCACAATACAATGACCAAGATCATTCCCATCCTCAAATCAGACCTCAGCAAAATACCAGGAATTACCTTTCTACTGTCAATAAGAAGGAAGGGCTCCCCCACCCATGCGGAGGCCATAAACTCCCAGGAAAATACATAACAGCGCCCAAATTTTTTTCAGATTCATTGCAGTCTAGTCTCTTTCTAATAAACCTAGGGTTCCATGGAGAAAATTTTGGTGAATGTCTGACACTGTGACCTCTGCTGTCAATCCTTGCACCAATCAGCGAGCAGAATTCTTACAAAGCTCCATCAATCTGGCGGTTTAACATCACAGACTGCAGCTTAATCTAGAGGATTCCATCTTTCCCGCACACTCTCCAGGTTAAGCACAAACGTTTTTCTCTCGACACCCACCCATTTGTTTTCTGCCTTTAGGCACCGCTACCTAATGGCTCCTTTAAAATCTAAAAAGGAAAGAGGAAAGGAAGTGCTACAGCCCGTCTCCCTTTGGAGAAGGGGGGGAAATAGCATGCATTTTTATCAATGTGGAAGGGAAGAGATGGAGGGAGACCCCTTGCAGGCAGCCAACCTATTCACAAAATGCTTCCCATCTGCAATCGTGAAGCCTCGATGCATACCCAACATGACACACGAAAACAGATACCAAATGATTGCAACCGCTTTCACAAACGCACGTCTGCAGCCCGGGTGGCGGGCAGTATCTGTTCCATTATATAACGGCCGGATTTCCTTGCTCCCCAGCCAGGGTCCCCGGCCCCGGCGCTGCCCTGGTGCCAGCCCCATTACCTGTAGGAACGCTCCCCGCGCACTGTGTGCTTCCGGAAAGGAATGATGGTCCCGTTATCCTGGATGATGTCGTTGTTGTTCTCGCCATTTGGGGACAGGGTTTGGGTCGGCCCAGGCATTGGCGCACTCCCAAGAAAGGGAACAAACCGCTGTGGGCTGGCTGGTGAGGAAGGTGGCTGCGTCTTCCCGCTCGCTCGCCTGCTCAGCACACGGACCGTGCCTGCCGCCTGCTCGCCCGCTTCTCCCCGCTCAGCTCCCGCCCCGCCCCGCCCTCCTGTGTCCCGCCCTCCCGGCCGCTGACGTCAGAGCGCCGGCACAGCACCCGGGTCACGTGACCGGCCGGTCGCCATAGCAACCCGCTAACTCATCACCTCGCCTCAATTCACACAGGGCCGCGGCGTGACCACGCCAGCCGCTCCTGGCAGGCACCGGGGCAGGCCTACATCTGGCATGTAAAACCCCAGGCCACCCCGCAGCCCCCCTCGCAGACTCGCCTTGTCTGAAAACCAGCTCTTCCTCTAACCATTTCCTTTCCGACCCGTGCTCCGACTGCAGCTGTGTACACAAAAGAAGGATTCATGCAAAGGGGTGTGGGAGACCCTTTAACTCCTTCAATACCAAGTTCTTAAGCCATCAGAACTAAACTTGGGCATGTTTCAGGAAAAAAATCCAAAAAAGACCTAGTGGCCAGCTTCGAGAAAAGGTATCCGACTAGAGGGGTTAAAAAATGTCTAGGTTCCTCCCTTACTCTTCAAAGCAGCAACCACCTCAAGCAAAAAATCTGAAAGCCTAATAAGCTGTATTTCCTTCTAATCAATGTAGCCTTTAATGATGTGAGGATCAAAGATCATAAATTACGAGATTCTCTGTATAAAGAATCCCTAAAGAGGGTTTTTAAAAATAACCACTGTTTTTTAAGATCACAGTTACCCAGGACCCTCAAATTCAAATTCTTTAGACTGCCTTCTGATACAGATCATTGATTCTGTGCCATTTATTTTGTTTCCATGTGAATTAAATATTTAAGCGATCACCTCATTTAGTATTTGGAAGCTCTTAACATTCAAGCTGCTCTGTGTCATTGAAATGTTGTTTTCCAATGCATTGTCCATGAGTAAGATAGTATTAATATTAGCCATTTTTTAAAATGAATAAACTAGTGAGATTTAAGTAAATTGCTGAAGGTCATATAGGAAGGGGTGAATTGGAACTTAAAAGTGACATGCTTTTTTCTTTTAATCTTATAGGACTAAATAGTAGTGATCTGTCTATTATGTTTACTCCAATATTATATATTGAGGTAAGAATCAAGAATCACACCCAATATGACCACTGTGAAAGACAGCTGTGATAGCACTGCAAAGTATTGTGCAAAATCCATGGATTGTAGATTTTGAATAGACCCCAAATATGTCCAGTACTGTCCTCCAGAGAAGAGAGTCTGAAGAATTATCTACTTATCAGAAGTGGGTTTTAACTTTCATGGGGTGGAAAGGGAAGAAGAATTGGGTATGAAAGACACAGCAAGAATGTGTATGGCAGAAAGTCCTAGGATATGTATGGTTCATTCCTCCCCGATATTGTAGACTTTTATCAGCTTCATTATTTTGTGATACAGATATTAAAAACAAGTAAATACTCTGTCATTCCTGACAATTCTCCGGCATATGTCCCTGGTTATAAGTTATTTCTGGTATCAAGCTTCTGGAATTGGAATCAAATGTTTCACAAACCAGATGGTAATGATAATTTCAAGCAAGGGGGGCCCCTTTTATTTCTATTTTATTCTCTCCTTTTAGGCTATTATTTTAATAATTTTATTCTGCTTCTCCAGTTAGTTCACAGTGCACAAGTTGATTCCTTCATGCACATCCCCATTTACGTGAGAATTTTTTTTCTTTCTCATACAATCAGGATCCAGTCTGACCTAAGACTTAACAAGGTACCCAAATAAAAATCTAAATACAAGAGATACATACCAAGTCTCACATTGCACAATGAGCTAAAGGGGCACAGAATGCACTCACTGCTGCAGAGAACCATGCTTCCTCTTACTATTTCTGTTACCACTCTTGTCAATTTCCTTACTAATTGGTTCTCTTTCACAAAAGCTTCCCCTTTTGGGGGGACAGTTTAAAGTTGAAAGGCAGAGTCTACAAATCAAATATTCAACATGTTTGGGTATGCCTTCTCGATTAGGAATCTTCGGCTAACTTTTCCATGATCCTCTATTTAAGTAATATATTGGACATAACTAATGTTATCATAAGGACTAAATCTGTCAGAATTCATTATAGTTCATTAATTATACCCACTAATTTTGTGGAGTGAATATTCCCACTTTATTTCTAGGCTGCTCATGAAAGTAGAGATGATGGCCAAGAATCTGGTTGATAGGCTGAAAGGGAGGGATATTAAGTCAGGTGAGGGAGGTATCTAAGAGCCCTTGTAAATCTTCCTCTATGCTTGCTCTGAGCCACGCTACTATAAAGGGACCCAGAGAGCTCCAGAGACCCATGATTACCCTCAGAGATGCAGGGGTAACAGGGGTAATAATTTGAAAATATTAAACAGATGTGTTTTCATTCCTCTCCCCATAAATCAGGTTACCTGGCAGCCATTCTCAAGTTCAGCCCAGGGGAAAAGAGGAGGGCAAATTCCAGCTTGGGAATGGGAAGGAGGATGGTGTAGATATATAGAAAGCATAGAAAAGGCAGGAAAGGGGAGGAGGGATCCCATCCTTTCCAGACCTAACTGAGTATACAGAAGGATGAGATAAAGATAGGGAAGAGTGGTGTTCTCCCATTTACAGGCCACCAGGCTTACTTTAGAAGGGAGACATTAAATAGGCTGAAGATGGGCTGGGGTTGTAACTCAGTGGGAGAGTGCTTTACTCTCGTGTGTGAAGCACTGGGGTTTGATCCTCTGTACCACATTTAAATAAGTAAATGAAGGCACTGTGTTCATCTACAACTAAAAATTAGAAAATTTAAAAAAACAGGCTGGGCCGGGCACAGTGGTGCATGCCTGTAATCCCAGTGGCTAAGGAGGTTGAGGCAGGAGGATTGAGAGTTTAAAGCCAGCCCCCCGAAATGGCAAGGCACTAATAATCAACTCAGTGAAACCCAGTCTCTGAAAATACAAAATAGGGCTGGGGATAAAAAAAAAAATAGGCTGAATGCCAAGCCAAAACTAAGGGCTTTCTTTTACCTCATTTCCATATTTGAGAATCTAGGAAATAACCACCTTGAAAAAAATGGGTCAGCAACTCTCTCCCTCCCCAAGTTAGCTGCAGCCCATTACAGTAAGACCCCCCCTCCCATCTTTCCTAATAATGTATAGCTCTCATAGTACAGACCTCCCTTCTCTAACCAGGTGCAGGTTCATGGTGGTTTGGTATGGTGAGGGAGAGTAGGTTTGAGTTTGACTCTGAAGTGGAGAAGCATGACCTGTGGCAGGTATCTAGAAGTTTCTGTCTGCCCAGTAGGGGATAAGTAGGAGGTTGAATGGATGGTGCTATCAGAGAGCTGAGTTTATGACAGTGGTGGTGGCAGTGGGGGCTTCATTACAACAGAGGCAAAGGGATATTTTAACCTAGGTCCATAGGGTGAAACTTTGCAGTCAGAGCTGAAAAAAAGAGAAATAGCCATCTCTGAGGAAGTTACACACTGCTAGGCCTGTGCAGGAAGACACTGCAGCTCAAGAGTGTAGCACAGAGTCCCAACAGAATGCTCCTGAAGGGAGTCAGAATAGTTTCTCCTCTGCACACTCACATTGCAAACCTAAGAACCAGCATGAGACTAGGAGACCCCTACTCTCCCTCACCTTTTGTGTTTCTATAAGCCCCACGTCCCTATTCAGTCCTCCAGACCCATCTTGTAGAGGGGCTATAAAAGGACACACATCTAGAGGCAAAATATTCACCTAAGAGAGGTTCATCCAAAGATGGACAAAATTGGAAGAGGCTGTAACACTGAGAACTGGACAGTTTTAAATTGCTTCTGGTTCTCTGGCCACCTGCAGGATGAAGAAGTTACAGAGGTTACGGTAGAGGCCAAAGGGTAGCTAAAACCTCATTGCATGTCTGTGTTTTCAACCTTTGTTTTATGCACACAGGTTTACTTAAAATTGTTTGTAAACCATTGTCCTACATCTCCAATTGCCCATGATTGTATCATGATTAAAGTAGGAACTCTGGACTTAAGTAGACCCTGGTCCTGGGCTTGAACTCACCACTCCCTGACTGTGTGATTTGGGCAAGTTATTTTGCATCTCAAAAGTTTAGTTTCTTCATCTATAAAGTAGGTGTATTAATACTGGTTTCATAGTTCTGCTGTGGGGTTAGTTACATAATGCATTTTAGGCTCTTAGCAGCAGCTGGCACGCAGCAAATTCTCATTAGTGGTAGATGTTATTATTTTAAAATAATATGTTGGGCATACCCCAAAATGTTCATTCATTACTTAACACTTATAACTGGCTTTCTTATGTATTCAGAGCTAGTAAAAAAAAAAAAAATAATCTCAGGCTCTGACCACTTCCAGGGTTGTGGGTGAGTAAGGTAAAAATAACTGGCAATTCTAATGATTACAAGTGCTATAATAATGATATCATATATGGTAGTACAGGACCATGGAAAATGAGTGTCAATGTCCAAATGGAAATTGGGATTAGTCTGACATGTTCCCCCAGATAGATGATACCACTTTGGATGAGTAATAACAGTAACCTTTCTTGTTCACTTCTTATGCAATAGATAGAATATAAATTCCCTTAGGGAAGGGGCTTCAACGGTTTTGTTCACTGTTGTATCTTCAGTTACTGGAACAGGGCCTGGCAGGTAGCAGGAATTAAATAAATACATAATTCATTCATTTATTCAACCATATCATATTTGATTCTTTCAGCAACCAAAAGGATAAAATTAAAGCTTAAAGAAAAGAAGCAATTTGTCCAAGACTGGATATCAGAGATTCTTGTCCCAAATTTCATGTTTATCCACTAGGCTACAATGCCACTTTTAAAGAGGAATGACAGTGCAGAGGAAAGATAGACCAGATATGCCCAGATATAGAGGTAGGAAAGGGTGTGACTGGAACCAGTAGGCTGTTCAGCATGGACAGGAAGCAGAGTATGCAGTAAGTAACAATGTTGGGGAGAAAGGTCTTATGGCCAAGCTAAGGAACTTGACCTTAATTCTGAAGATGATCTAGAAACAAAAGTGTTGCAGGAAGAGAAATTAATGGTGAAATTTATGCATCAATCAGGTTTGATGATGGCAGAAGTGTGGAAAAAAATTGAAGATTAAAGTAACTCAAAAACTGATGGAGACCTAAACCAAGATGGAGGTCAAGGGGGTGAAGAAGAAAGTACAAATTTGAGATAGTCAGAGCACATAGCTGTTAGGACTGACTGCATGTGGGGATGGCAGTGGGTGGCAGTTAACCATGGGTACTGAAGGAGAAAGTGATATCTTAAATGGATCCCAAGTATATTGCTTGGGTGATCAAGTAGATAATAGTACCATTTATTAAGCTTAGGAATACAGATTGAATTGTTCTTTTGGAAGAAGGGTTCTCATGTGTTTGGGACATAGAGAAATGCCAATAGGAAATCCTAGTGGCCAATGGGCTTCATGTGTAGAAAGTGATCATTAAATATTCCTTGAATAAGGAAATACAGGGGCATTGAACTTATTAGGTGTGTTAGAGATATATATTATTTGGAGGTAATTATCTCATAATTGATCACTGAATCTGTGGCTACTCTCATTCAGGAAGAAAGAAAAGACCTGGGATGGAATTTTTAATAGCTGAGTGACAAAAGAGAAATGTACAAAAGGAGTCTGTGAAAGATTTTTGGTTAGGGGAACAAGTCACAAGAAGGAGTGGTTTCAGTGGACCCAGGAGAGAAGCAGGTTCAGAGAGAGAAAGAGAGACAAAGAGAGAGAGGGATCAGGGAAGGGGAGGGAGGCATGGAGGGAGGGGGAGCATGTGCATGTGGGGAGGGCAAGGTGTTTCTAGGACTAAATGCCACTGGAAATTTGAATTAGATAAGAACAAAGAAGTATTTATATGATTTGATAAGTTTTTTTCAAAGATATTTTTAAGAGGTTGATTTCAGATCAGACCTATTGATAATCACCAAAGAAAGAAATCTTTTGACAGTAGGAAAACCAATTCTTTGCAAAAATCAAGAATTTTTTGACTAAAGATATTCAAGGAAGGGGGAGGTACTAAATCATGGGTCACATGTCTAGAATCAGCAACTAATGGGAATCAACAGGTATTTGCACTGGAATGCTCCTAGCAATATTAGAAAGGGCCAACATGTTAATTACTAAGCACCTGTTAGGCAGTAGACAAACTGATCCTACCTTTGAGTCCCTATTCTCGTGAGGTCAGGATCCAACACACACACACACACACACACACACACACACACACACACA